AATAATAATAATAATAATAATAATAATAATAATAATAATAATAATAATAATAATAATAATAATAATAATAATAACAATAATAATAAGTAATCATAATAATGATAATAATAATAATAACAATAATAATAATAATAATATCATTTTTATAGTAATAATAAATCGTAAGTGATAATTAAATCACTAATAGGGGGAAAAAAGGTTGCGTATTCGTACAAATGTAAAAGATGATAGATATAAGAATTTAATTTAATGAATTGATCATTTCCGTTCAACAAAGTTAATCAAATAAATTGGATGGTAAGGAAAAAAAATTTTTTTGCTTTCTTTTCTTCCTCTTTTTCGTCCTTTCCGTTGATAAATTGACATATTTCAGTACCTTTCTTTCAGTTTTACATAACAAAAAATCTTTTTACAGTATTATCATAAATCAAAAATTAAAGTTCCATTTTTACAAATTAAAATTTTTTCGTGAATATTTTAGGAAGTTAAGTTAGAGATTAAAACAGGAGAAACGAAAAAAAAAAACTGGTAATAGATAAGTATTATAAATGACCTTAGCGTTTTATCTGTCGTGAATAATTTGAAATTTTAGATTGCAAAATTAGTAGCTATCGAAAAGTACTTGCATCTATTAAAATTCCCGTCGTAACCCAATTAGTTTGCTGATTTGTAGAGTAATTTAAATGCAATTTGGAATTTGAAAAAAAAAGTAGAAATTACCGATGCTTTTTTCCAATAAAAATTATTGAATTTTTTTGAAAATTAGTATAATTTATGATTCTTCTGGAATTAGTAAATTTGATTTATGAAATGGCAAAGTTTACAAAGTTTCAAAAAAATGTAAATTTTGGAGGATTGAAAAGGGGCGGGAATAATGATTATAATTGATGGAAAAATCAGAACGAAAAGTGTTGCTTATTTATGTAATTGAAAAATAACTAATTAATATAATAACACAGTGGCATTAATTATTCTGCTCATAATTAATTTCAATATTCAAGTAATTTCAATTGCATTTTTTAACACTTTTGCTGGTGTAAAGCTTTATTTTCATTCATATTTGCATCAATAATTTTGCTACTTATTTATTTTACTTTAATCACCCGTGGTTAAATTAATTCATGAGCAATAAATCTTCTCTAACAGTTCAAATAAAACTTGAACCACCTTTAACTTATTCTTTAAATAAGATACAATAATAATTCATTCCCGTCAATTCAGGTTTTCTTTATCAAATATCAGAGTGTAAAATATTAAAAACTATGTCACATTCAAGTTAGAAAGCACGTCAAAACAAATGATAAGTTAAAAAATGTGAAAAATTAAATGAAACTATTAAATATTTATCAGGAAGAAAATTAACTCAATAGTTTAATCCACTTTCTTAAATTTTAAAAATTCAAGTAAAAGTCGCATTATTACTCAAATACTTTCTCCACTTATAATCATTTCATTTTGTCAAAATTCCCAAATTTACAGTATTTTCATGAACGATTTGAGAAAGGAAACAATTATAAAATTTTCCGCAGTGACAAATTCATAAAAGTAAAAGTTAAAATACTGAAAAACAAGAGCAACCAAAATTTGAATGAAATTTTCTTCGAAAAAAAGATTTTAAAGTGTATACACCGACCAAATTTAAATAAATTTCAAATTCTATGCATCACTGTGCTTAAAAAAAAAAAAATTCTCAAGACGAATTTGTTCAGGAATATCACTTATTTAGAATGTGTTGTTTTACGACAAGAAAATAATAACACAAAATATATATTCGAAAATGTAAAATTAAATATTGATTAGTTGGAATAGGACCTGAATTAATTAAGAATGATTGATCTAATTGGGCCTACAAATTTCCAAAATTTGTCGACTATCAAACAACTTTAACTTTTTTTTAGAACAAAAATCAGAAAATTATTGCCAAAAAATAATTGAACTAAAAAATAAAATATATAAATCACTGTAATATTATTAGTAATGACAAATGTAAAAATAATATGAAATAGTTTGCTCATATTGTCACTATTTATTGAAAATTCTTTACAATGTGTTGAAATCAAACTATTTAGCATTTTTAAAATACATTGAAATCAGAGTGTTTAATTTTCAGTAACACTTTTATAGCATGTTAGATTTTCACGTACATCTCATTTTCACGTACGTTTGAATCTAATTCTACAATTTTTCGATTCGTTAGAATATACTAATTTATGGCTTAAGATAAGATGACGGATATGAAATACTCATACTTACTGCTTGCAGAAAGTTATAAATAATACTTTTTTGTTTCGAATTAAAATAAACATTTCTTGAAATAATTGAATTAGAAGCAAAGCATTCAGCAAATTTGGTTTTCTAATTATCAAAACGATTTTGCACAAATGCTTACTGTAAACAATTAGTTGCTGCACGAGAAGTTTGAAATAATGGATTGATTAGTACTTTGATTGACTGAATGATTGGTTAAATCATTTCAGTATATTAGTTTTTGAAACTTCCATTTAAAAAATTTAATTCAAAGTTCCGTCTTTTTCTTAATTTATGCTTTTTTTTTTAAAAAAAAAAGGCAAAACAATCTGATAATTTGGGCATAAATAAAAAAACTTTCATCGTTTTAAAAAAAATTCCTCCATTCCGTTATAATGTTTGAATCATTTATTGGTGAGAAAAACTAAAGCTATCTGAAAACAAAAAAAAAAAGCTATCAAAAACTGTTAATAAATAGCTAACTATTACACATTTAATTCAAAAATCCTTTAGTTTGCAATTGTATTAATTTCAAGCACAATCATTTAGTTCTAGAAAATTTAATCGAATTTTAGGAAATAAATTTATTTTCACTAATAGTTTCGTAAAGTCGTTTTTTTCTTATTTTAAGGAACGACAAAAATTAAATTCAATTTGCCAACTTGCGCTAAAATTATTAAACCTTATTTTTCATTTTTTTATTTTTTGTTTTAAGGATTTTAATGATTCAAATAATTATTATTTCATTTTGTTGCTCTTTCTTTGTGATGACTAAAGAAGAGAAGCATATAAAAGGAGTTAGAAATGTTCGCATTTATATTCCAATTAATGGATCGCAAACAATTGATTTCGGATTTAATGTTCGAAATGTTTTTGCATTTTCCCTGAAAAGTGATAAACTTAATGAGCGACCGATAATTCTTATTCGAAATGGACGCTTATCTCGAGAAGGGGTAATGTGATATTGTTTAATTATTAGTTTGATTTAATAAGCACAATCAAAATTGTTGCATTATTTTAAATGAAATTAAAATTATCAATTCCTATTAGATATTTCAGCAAATGATTCAAATTATTTGTCACTTCTTATTTGATATATTGTAAATAATTCAAAATTTTTAATTTTCTAGCACATTTCGTTTGATTCATTTGGTACACAAAATTTTTAATTATATTTGACATAATTTTATTCGATAAATGTTTTTTCGCTTTATTCAAAACAATTTTGCCTTTATTTGGAATACGAGTTAATTTTTAAAACTAAACTAAACTTTTTATATTCTTCAGCATGAAAAATTATTTAATAATTTTTTTTGCCATTATAATTAATCGCAAAATGATTCTTAAAAATTTTTTCGTTTAAAATTAGAATGAAAGTTCTATTCAGCAATGATTGATTAATATAACAGGAAGGAATAAATTACCATTGAGAAAAGGAAGGTTAATGCATTTTTGGATGGTTGCATTGCTAATTGATGCATTTGAGGATAGCATTGATTTCTGCGGGATTAGCATTCATTTCTATCGCTGATTTTGAACTGATTCTTGAAATAATGAATTGATTCTCCCTTTCCGTAGAAAGGTTTCTATGCTGAAATAAAGGTAATAATATAGGTAAGATAATAAGATAATGAAATAAAGGATTATTATTATTATTATTATTATTATTATTATTATTATTATTATTATTATTATTATTATTATTATTATTATTATTATTATTATTATTATTATTATTATTATTATTATTATTATTATTATTAT